TCTCTCTCTGTCTCTGTCTCTCTCTTTATCCCCCTCATTCTGTTTCTCTCTGTCTCTACCCTGGCCGCTTCTCCATTCCCCGCCGTCGCCCTTATCTTCTCAGGCCAAGCGAGGAGTAACTGGGAGGGGAGGGTGAGGGGCGGGGCCAGCCAATGATAAGATCATCTGACAGGAAGCCACAGCAGAGGGCCCAAAGAGCCACATGCGGCTCTGGAGCCACAGGTTGCTGACCCCTGGTCTAGAGATGTCAAGTGTAGATAGAGAACTAACCCAGAAGTAAAAAAAAAAAAAAGGAAAAAAAAACAACTTGCAGGCCAAGGTTCCAAGTTTGATTGTTGGCATTTTCAGGTGTGGCTAGAAGAATCATACTTGATAACCTGGAGAGCTGAACTGGCCAGTATTATCAGCCATCTAGGCAAGGGGAGCCAGGAGCAGTGGTGAAATTCATTTTTTTTTACTAGCGGTTCTGTGGGCGTGGCTTGGTAGGTGTGGTGTGGCTTGGTGGGCATGGCTTGGTGGGCAGGGAAGGATACTGCAAAATCTTCATTCCATCCCCACTCCGGGGAAGGATACTGCAAAATTCCCATTCCCACCCCCACTCTGGGGTCAGCCAGAGGTGGTATTTGCCGGTTCTCCGAACTACTCAAAATTCCCACTACCAGTTCTCCAGAACCTGTCAGAACCTGCTGAATTTCATCCCTGGCCAGGAGACTGATTTTCTATATAGCAACTTTATAAGTTCCTCAGGGAGGAGGAGAAGGAGGAATTGTTTTCCAGTGAAAAATCTTGCAGATTTTGACACACATACATTTTTGACACCCTGATGCCTTGATTTGTTGAATGCACAAGCTAAGAAGAAAGAGGTACTCAACTTTTAGAGAAAGCTTGAAGATACCTGAAATAGTTTGTAAGATTACCCACTATTTGTAAGAAAAGAGATTGAAAAGCTAACCAAAAATAAATAAATAAGATGAAGGGTTCCCATTTTTTCAAAAGGATCCCTTTCAAAAGGGAGAAGTAGTAACATGGGAGATTTTAACTGGGAAGATTAGATACGTGTATTGCATTTGCAGTTCCTCCTGAATGAAATGGTGGGATGGGGAATAAATGAAATTTCCTGGTAATGATCACTCATGTTATATGAGGCTATAGATGTATCTGAATTATCCTACCTTATATTTTAATGTTGGATTAAGATAAAGCCTACTTATTTAGTTCTGGGGGGGAAATCACCTACTACAATGCCACATACAATCTTGAGAAACTACTAAGTTGTTGCAAAGCTTTGATTTGATGAGGCATGTTTTACCATATTTCTTTGAAGGGGTGCTTTGCCTAAATCTTTTTTAAAGCTAAGTATTCCTTCAAAGATTTGCATGGGCCAGGGATTGATTGATTGATTGATTGATTGATTTTGTCAAGCATGTATAAGATAACAGATATAAGTATAAACATGATTATGAATACAGGAAATGGATACCATTAAATGGGGACAGTAGGACAGTGATGGTAGGCATGTTGGTGCTCTTATGCACACCCCTTACAGACCTCTTAGGAATGGGGTGAGGTCAACAGTAGACAGTCTAAGGTTAAAATTTTGGGGGTTTTGGGATGAAACCACAAAGTCAGGTAGTGCATTCCAGGCATTGACCACTCTGTTGCTGAAAGTTGTATTTTCTGCAATCAAGTTTGGAGCAGTTTACTTTAAGTTTGTATCTATTGTGTGCTCGTGTATTGTTGTGGTTGAAGCTGAAGTAGTCATTGACAGGTAGGACGTTGTAGCAGATAATTTTATGTACTATGCTTAGGTCAAAAGAGGAAAAACATTGTCTGTGGTATCGCTACATCCCTAAAATTGTTGGTGGCAGCTCAAAGTTAAATAAATGTAATGATGTTATTGCATTAGATTTCAATGAGGATATTATTGCATTAGATTTCAATGGGGATTTCAACATTATAAGTGGATTCAGACAACAATGGGGACATTTCAAGGTATTCTGGCATTTTTCTGTGACATTACATAAAATTATCCCGTTCTCAGAGTAATTGGATGACATTTTGGGGGAGGGGAATAGCTGAAAGTTAGCAATTTCATGAGAAATTGAGCTTTTTTTAAAATTTGTTTTGATTTTATATGTAGACTGACCTCTCATAAAGTTGCTAGCTCCTGTTGTAAGTCACCTGAACTGGAGAGCTGAATAAATGTTTTTAAAAATCTCCCATCAGAGATATTAAATAATACTGTATGTTAATGCACATTTAAAATTAAATCAGAGTAATAAGTTTGAGTCAAAACATATTTATATCAGTGGAAGCACTCCAGCAATTTGGGGGGCCAAATTCTAGCTCAAGAACGCTGGTTTTCAATTTCTACAGATATTGCTTCACATGTATGAAACAAACACACTGAGCAAAATAAATGTTTATACACACATTTTAATTCCAATTGATATTCACTTTTGATGTTTAATCGTTGAACCATTGAGGTAGAGACTGCCTTCCTATTCTCTGTCAGTATCAGTTTCAGGAAAATAAAAGAATCATTTTCAAATGGAATAGCAGTTTACAGCATTTGGTTTACCGGTAGATGGGCTTGATTTGTTATGCAGCAAAAAAATCACAATACTGTCTTCTGTGATAATTCAAACTAAACAATCATGTCCAAACACCGTGAATGGCCTTAAGCTAAAGGCATTTACCGGTCCAGTATCTGATTTTTTTAATATAAACAATGCTGCACAATGATTAGGTGGCCTAGCCCAGTGATGGGCTAACCTTTTCTGGATAGAGTGCTCAAAGGGTATGTGTGCACCCGTACCCCCAAAATGCAATGCATACATGGGCCCTTCGCATGCACCCCACCCCCGCCCCCTGCACATGTGCACATGGCTCCCCTGCATGTGCCCCCCACATGCACACACGGCCCCCCACATGCACTTTGCCCCTGCATGTGCCCGCCCTCCATGCATGCACATATGCCCCCCATGTGCAACCCCCCACATGCGCCCCGCCCCTTGCACATGGAAGGCAGAGACCCGAAGAACAGCTGGCCGCCGGGAGGCACACGCGCATGCACGGCAGAGCTGAGCTGGGGCGATTGCTCACGTGCCCACAGAGAGGGCGCTGTGTGTCACCTGTGGCACGTGTGGCATAGGTTTGCCATCATGGGCCTAGAGAGTGGCATTTTGACATATATATTTTTAACATTTATATTTTAATGTAAATATATATACACACACATACACACACACATACACATTGAGCTGTGGTGGCACAGTGGTTAAAATGCAGGCTACTTCTGCTGGCTGCCAGCAGTTTGGCAGTTCGATTCTCACCGGCTCAGGGTTGACTCAGCCTTCCATCCTTCCGAGGTCGGTAAAATGAGGACCCAGATTGTTGGGGGCAATATGCTGACTCTGTAAACCGCTTAGAGAGGCTAAGAAGTGGTATAGAAGTCTAAGTGCTATTGCTATTGCTATTTTATTGTGTTTTATTAATCTAGATGAAATGTGAACGTATATTACTAGTTCATGAATGATATGCCGTACGTTAAATAAATCCAAACTAAGCTACTGCTTGATATCGGAGGTAACTTTCACAGAGTTCAGTCCTCAGAAAATTATTACATTGAGTCCAGTGGGATTTACTCTCAGCCAACTCTAGTTACATTTAGTAGGACTTCCTTATGAGTAAGCAATAATGAGATAAGGGCCAAGATTGCTGAGGGAGGAATCAACGTTTCCCAGGCTGAAGATGGTTTTATGTAAACATATTTTAGCCTCTCAAAGCTACCAGGTTACCTGCCTAGTTGATTAGAAGAAGCTTAGAGTTTGGATTCATGTTATGGATTACGGTTATATGTTAGAAGTTCAGTTAGACGTTGTACAGAATTTAGTACAATTGATAATAGAAATTGACCACTACTTTCCATTGCCCAAGTACTTCTGTTCCTTTGAGAGATTGACCAAAACCTCAGAGGCATACTAAGGATTTCTAAATCCTTTTAATGATGTTGATTTCTCAAAGCAAAGTTTCCACAAATGCTAGTTAGATGAATTATAGTTTCTTTTAATGGAATGTGTCACTGCAATGACAGCCAGTTTAGCATAGTACTTAAGATACCAGGCTAAAAACTGTGAGTTTTAGTCCTACCCAAAGTTATGTGGGTAACCTTGGGCCAGGTACTCTCTCTTAGCCCTTGGAAGGAGGCAGTGGCAAACCACTTCCAAAAAACCTTGCCAAGAAAATTGTAGCAACTAATCCATGCTGTCCCCATGAGTCAATACTATCACAAAAGCATAACAAGATTTTTAAAAATCACTGCATTGCAGTCAAGGGTATAGATGATAGTCTTGTAGAATTCATGGCCATCACCATTTTAATCCTGTAGTTCAGGACTATAACAGACATTACAAGGTGTTTATTGATTTAAATAGTGTTATCTCATATACATTAAATGAGCTTGCCTCTCTGCTTTTATACAAAGACTCTGAATACTTAACACACAAATGATGGTAGGTAAGAGAAATTGGATTTGAGTTTCTCTTAACATCCTTTAGGAATGTCATCACTGGCTCATTATACATTCTTGGGAATATTATCTCTGGAGGTTTAAATGCTGGGATGTCAGGTACTATGGCTGGTATCCTATCTACACTTACTTCAGAATAAGCCCTGCTGAATTTCAGAATATTTTGAATATTTTGAGTAGGTACGTTCAAAATATTCAGAATATTTTGAGTAGGTACATTCAAAATATTCAGACTATTTTGAGTAGGTACATTTCTAGGTTGCATAACAGGAATGCATCTGCAAATAAGTTCTGTGGGGCTTACTTCTACCTGGAATTGTCTCCAAAATGAATCAGATTCATTTTTCCAGTTTTCATAATTTAGGGATGTATTCCAGCAAGAGAGTCGGCATACTTAAGCACACTGCACACAAAATCTGAATACCTTTCCAGTTAAGACTCTCTAACCAATATTTTTCTTATTTTACAGAACCCCCTTCATCTGCAGCTGAGTTTAGAACGTTCCCTGAGTTTTGACGCTGATGTCACTTTTTCAATCTTGGCCTTGAACAACTGGTATAATTTTAGTTTGATGGTATGCCAGGAAGAGTGGAACATCACCGAATTTCTCTTCCTTACTCAGCAGAGCTCCAAATTTTATTTGGGATCCATTATAAATATCACAGGAAACCTCACATCAGCCAGTGACCTCTTGACCTATCTGCAGTTTCATCTGGAGAACATTAAGGATACAACTTCAACAGTGGTGATGTTTGGATGTGACATGGAAAGCACAAGGAGGGTTTTTGAGATAACCACACAATTTGGGGTTATGCCACCTGAACTTCATTGGATTCTTGGGGATTCGCACAATGTGGAAGAGCTGAGGACCGAAGGTTTGCCGCTAGGTCTTATAGCTCATGGGAAAACAACACAATCTTTTTTTGAAGATTATGTGCAGGATGCAATGGAGCTGGTAGCTAGAGCAGTTGCTTCAGCTACAATTATCCAACCAGAACTGGCATTGATTCCAAGTACAACCAACTGCTTGAGCACAGAGGAAAAGAATCTCACATCAGGCCAGTATTTATCGAAGTAAGAGATCTCTCTTCAATAAATGTTGTAAATATGAATGTCTCCTTCAAAATTGATCAAATCAGGTTTTTCTCCATGATGGCCTATCCCCAGCATGTTCTTTCAGGTCTTCCAATGGTGCACTCGGGGCCTCTGTAACTGAGTTCATCCACCTTGCTACTAGTGGTTGGCTAGATTCTAACTCCAGAATTCCTATGAGGCACAGAAAATTCAGGGAGTTTAAACTATCTTCTGGATAATTCCCAGGTTGGGGAAGCTTATCTAAAAAGTGGCATGGGAATAGATCTGATTCAGAGAACAGAAGCAGCAGGTGATTAATCCCTATTCAGCTAATATTAAAAAATATTATTATTTTTAATTTGTTTAAAGGGGAAATAACCACCTCTTTTTCATTAAAAATAATTTCAAAGTGAGATTTATTTCTAATAAACTATAACTTTCATAGCAAATACTGCATGAGTAGAGGACAGCAGATTTGGGAAGTCTGATTGTAATCATAAGGGCACTTTTTCTGCAGAAGGCAAGTCCATCCATTATGTATCCTGCTGCCAATGAAAGACACTGAGGGCACTACCAAAATCTAACAGTCACCCATAAATGGAATAAACTGGCCTGCAGCACAACAGCAGCACTTGTCTCTTCCATTGTAAGCAAGCAGCAAGATCTGTCCTGTGCTTCATTTTAAGAGTTTTGTAATCCATCTGCAAAATCCTGTTATTAGATGAATTAGAAAATTGTGATAGTAGCAAACTAAGGAGTTGAAACTGCCATGAAGAATGCAGACTTGTGCAATATAAATTTCCTATTACAGCAGAGCAAGTGAGGAGAAGTTCCTTGTGATTTTGTGGGTGAGAGATATCAGAGGGACACTAGTATCCAGGGGTGGGCTGCTGGGGGTTTGCAGGAGTTCAGGAGAACCTCTAGCTAAGATTCTGTGCAGTTCAGAGAACCCCCAAATCCCACTCCTGGCTAGCCCCGCCCACCCTGCCCTGCCTCTCCCAGGAGTCCCCACGTGGCCCACTTTGGATGCAAGTAAGTGCAGGGCATTTACAAAGGCTCAGGGAGGGTGAAAAATGGGCCTACCGGAAGTTCAGGAAGGCCAGAAACGGGCCCATTTCTGGCCTCCAGAGGGCCTCCGGAGCCTGTTTTCGCCCTCCCGGAGGCTCAAAAAAAGCCTCCAAAGCCTGGGGAGGGCAAAAATGCCCCCCCTCCATGGTGCAGGAGGCCAACTAGGCCATGTCCACCCCGGCCACGGCCACCCAGCAACCAGGCAGAGAATCCCTTGCTAAAATTTTTAATGCCCACCCCTGCTGGTATCTATAGTAGGTTATGGTGGGAGGACCATAAACATCTCTGAAGCTTAAAAATTGGTCCTATTCAATTCACAGACATACAGAATCTCTCCATGTCCAAACATTCAAATGTCTTTTCTTGTGCTGTGTTTTTGTAGCAGAGCACATACCTTAGAAATCTTGTACTGAGAAAGTTTCTACTGTGTTAATTCCTAATCTTATGATTGCCCTGGTTACAGGGTAAAAAGCATTAGGATTTAGAAACCCCATCTAGTCTGTAAATTATGGCACTTTAATTATGCCATTTGAGTAATTAAAGTCCCATATGCGATTTGACTCACTGCCCATTCTCGTTTTTCTCATTCTCAACTAAACTTTGGGCGATAAAGACAGAATTACCAAGTTACCAGGCTAATGAGTACAGAACAATTTAATTAACCTACCAGTGAAAATTTATTACTGCGACCCTTTTGAATCATCAATATTTCAGCCCCCACAAAAATGCAAAGAGTAATGAGCTTATGACTATGAATGACTACATGCAGTACTTTTAGTCACAGAGCTAAATTGAATTGATACACTAACAAACACTCCATATGAATATGACAAATGCACATCATAAAAATTCAAATTTTCAGGAAGCCATGATTAGAAGTAATTCTACCTCATTGCAAACAGACATTTCATGCTGAAAGGGAATGGGATTGAGTTCACTCATACTGTCCCAGCACACAGCGTTCATCCATTCACCGGCAAGTGTGTGTATAACTAGTACTCAACTTATGACCACAATTGAGTCCAAAATTTCTGTTGCTAAGTGAGATACTTGTTAAATGAATTTTGCTCTATTTTACGACCTTTCTTGCCACAGTTGTTAGTTGAATCACTGCAGTTCTTAAATTAGTAACACGATTGTTAAGTGAATCTGGTTTCCCCATTGACGTTGCTTGTCAGAAGGTAGGAAAAGGTGATCACATGACCCCAGGCATTGCAATGGTCATAAATGTGACTCAGTTGCCAAGTGTCTGAATTTTGATTACATGAATGTGGAGATGCTACAACAGTTGTAAGTGTGGAAAATGGTCATAAGTCACTTTTTTCACTGCCTTGTAATTTTGAACATTCACTAAGTGAACTTATCGTAAGTCAAGGACTACTTGTTGTCTGTGGCTGTTCAGAGACCCTGCAAATGAATGCCAGAATGCAGCCTTTGTGTGCAGAGTAGAAAAATAAATGGGTACCCCCAAACACACTCACCAAAAATAAGAAATAGTGCTAGAAATAGAGAAGAAATGCCAGCAAGTGAAAGAAGAAATCTCATTTTAACAAAAAACATTTCTCCAAATTAGGGAGCCAAAACAATTCAGGACAAATATGTACATATGCAGAAAGAAAACTATTTACATACATTAAAAATCTGCTCATACTCAACGGCAAATGGCATTCATGAATTTAATTGGAATAACATTAAGACAAATACAAATAAATAAGCTGACTAAATGTTCTTTGGGCATAAAAGTTCTCCTTCAGCGGGAAAGTTTAACCCACTTTCCATTTATCTGTTCTGCTACTTCCAAGCATAAATAAACTCCCCCTCTCCCATGTCTTAAATTAGCATGAATGACAGCTCCATAGATGGTTGCATTCATCTCCATTCAGTCTTTGGGATTTTCCTCTTGCGCAAATGTGTTCAAATGGGCCTTGTTTTCTGTTCATCCTGAAATAAATCAATAACCAATTGAGAAATCCCCATAAATAAGGCTAGTGGGAGAGAAGGATGTTCTTATATTTTAACTAACATGAAAGGAAGCTCTAGAATACGTCTTGCTCTTACAAAAACAAAGCCAAGTCTATATAATATTTTAAAATGATGACTTGTTGGCCAAACAATTTACTCCTTATTAACATTTATCATTTGAAAAATATTATAAACACAGAGGAACATCCACTGTCTATAGCTCAGATAGCAAGGCATCTGGGTAAACAGGTTCTACTCCAGAGGTGGGTTTCAGCAGGGTTCTGACCAGTTCTGGAGAACCGGTAGCGGAAATTTTGAGTAGTTCAGAGAACCGGTAATAAAAATTCTGACTGGCCCCACCCCCATCTATTCTCTGCCTCCCAAATCCCAGCTGATCAGGAAGAAATGGGAATTTTGCAGTAACCGTCGGCCAAGCAATGTCGGCTGGTGGCCCCCAGGGGGAGAGCCTTCTCTGTGGGGGCACCCAACCTGTGGAATGAGCTACCTCCTGGAATACGACTGATCCCGGACCTCCGCGCTTTCCGAAAGGCCCTGAAGACTTATCTATTCCAACAAGCTGGCCTAGCTTAAATGGTTTTAATGGGGTTTTTAAATTTTCGATTTTATTGATTCTGGGTTTTAAATTGGGAACTTTTCGATTTTGCAGATCTGGGATTTTAAATTGGAAACGCCAATGATTTAATTTATTTTAGTTTTTTCTTAACTTTTGTACTATATGTGTTTTAAGTTTGGCTGTCCACCGCCCTGAGTCCCCCTGGGGAGAAGTATATAAGTTGAATTAATAAATAAATAAATAAATAAATAAACCTTCCCCTGGAGTGGGGAGGGAATGGAGATTTTACAGTATCCTTCCCCTGCCATGCCCACCAAGCAACGCCCACAGAACTGGTAGTAAAAAAAATTTAAACCCACCACTGTTCTACTCCTATTGTTCATCCAAACATATATGCAAATGATTTGTTCCCTGGGTTCTGAGGATTTCTTCATTTTGATTGTAAACCCATACAGAATAAGCAAGCCAAGCTAAGCTAGAACTCTAGGTGAAGATGTTTGGGTGAAGCAAGCAAAACGTGTGTATTTCCATTTGTTTCTGTGTCTAAATCCTGTTGAAGTTATGATTTTTGCCTCAGAAACTTTGTAAATTTCAGCCTTGAATGAACAAAAAAAAAAACTATGGCACAAGGTGGATATATTAAAAAGAAAAGGTCCTTTCCATTCCAGGACCTTCAAAATGTATACAAATATTCATATAGTTCCCAAAGCATGGGGCTTTCTTGCCTATTGTGGACTTGAAAAATCTTACAGTGTAGGCCTCTCATTGTGCGATGAGAGCTGCAGGTGGAAGCACATGCATGTATCTTGTTCATCCCAAAGAGGTATCTGAACTGGCCTTCTCACTTTTGAAGAAAAAGCATAAATGTGTCAGGGGGGGAGGAAAACAATCCCAGCTCCAAAAGATGTTAAAAGGTTATGTCCTCTGAATATCTGCTCATAACTTCTTACTTTTGTCCTATAGGTTTTTAGCCAACACTACGTTCCATGGGCTCAGTGGCCACATTAAGGTAAAAGGTTCTTCCATCATTAGTTCAGAAAACAAATTCTTCATTTGGAATCTGCAACATGACCCTGTTGGGAACCCAATGTGGACTCGCTTGGGGAGTTGGCAAGAAGGCAAGGTTGTCATGGATTATGGGATCTGGCCAGAGCAGGCTCAGAGACACAAGAATCACAACCAGCATCCGACTAGGTTACATCTGAGGGTGGTGACGCTCATTGAACATCCCTTCGTATTCACAAGGACTGTGGATGATGAAGGATTGTGTCCTGCAGGACAATTCTGTATGGATCCCTTGACCAAAGATTCAGCCGTGCTGGATGCTCTTTTTGAAAGCCTCCAAGGAGGCAACGACACAGTACCCACCAAATTTAAGCAGTGTTGCTATGGCTACTGCATAGATCTGTTGGAAAAGTTGGCTGAAGATATGAACTTTGATTTTGACCTGTATATCGTCGGTGATGGGAAATACGGTGGTTTGAAAAATGGCCAGTGGACTGGACTGGTAGGTGATCTTCTTGCTGGGACAGCCCATATGGCTGTGACATCTTTCAGCATCAACACAGCCCGTAGCCAAGTGATTGATTTCACCAGCCCTTTTTTCTCCACCAGTTTGGGCATTCTGGTGAGGACCAAAGACACAGCAGCTCCTATTGGAGCCTTTATGTGGCCGCTTCACTGGACCATGTGGCTGGGCATCTTTGTAGCTCTACACATCACTGCAATCTTCCTGACTCTGTATGAATGGAAGAGCCCCTTTGGAATGACCCCAAAGGGTAGAAACAGGGATAAGGTTTTCTCCTTTTCCTCTGCTTTGAATGTCTGTTATGCCATCTTGTTTGGGAGAACAGCTGCCATCAAACCTCCAAAGTGCTGGACGGGAAGGTTTCTAATGAATCTCTGGGCCATTTTTTGTTTATTTTGTCTCTCCACATACACTGCTAATCTGGCTGCTGTTATGGTGGGAGAGAAGATCTATGAAGAATTGTCTGGAATACATGACCCCAAGGTAAGGAAGGGCCTTTCATTTACACATTCAGGTCATAAAGTCATTATGCATCACTTTTGTATCACAACACAGTAGTGGCAACTGGACTTGGTCTGGTAATATTAGCTATGCCCTCTCTGCTGATTCTAGTTTAGTGTACTTGTTGAGGTGTCAGGCTAGAAATAGATTGTGAGTTGTAGTCCCATCATAAGCATAAACCCAGTTGGATGAGGCTTTGGGCCGGGCATTATCTCCCAGAAAGAGAGCAATAAGATCCATTTTCAATAAAATGTTGCCAAGAAAACTCTATGTAGTCACTGAAAATTGAGTCTGACTTGAACATACACACAAAAAAAATCCTACCTGTTAAGGTACTATAGAGATTAAGGAGGTGGTTCTTCTTTTATATGTATATAAGATCATTTTATAATTTATTATCATTATAATGATATCTTGGCTATGTTTCGACGAGGTCCCACTCTTCATCTTCAGGCTGGTGTCTTCGGCTTCATGCTTGTGCGAGCAAAGAATGATCAGAGATGCCGTCTCTCTATAAATACTGGTGGGGAGGTGGGGAGTGCTAGCTTTGTTGTTGTAAGCGGGTTGGTTGGCTGTGTTGTTACATCTTGATTAGTACAACACAGCCAACCAACCCGCTTCCAACAACAAAACCAGCACTCCACACCTCCCCACCAGTATTTATAGAGAGACGGCATCTCCGATCACGCTTTGCTCGCACAAGCACGAAGCCGAATACATCAACCTGAAGATGACGAATGGGACCTCATCAAAATGTCGCCAAGATACTCTCAATCTTACACGGGAAAAGACCCAAATACTAAGGGAATATGGAAGTTTTATATTGGTCTTGTATATTGTCTACTGTTTTTTATTGTTTGTTAGCTGTCCAAGGTTATGATGCATAAGATAAGTAGCTATATACTTTTTAAAAATAAATGGAAATTAATAAATAGAATAGCCAGGGATGGTAGTGGGAATTGGATCTAGAATGTAGTCAGTGCTTTTTTGAGAGAATGAGAGAGATTCAAGAAGTCTTTGAAGGGGCATTGATCTATTTTCACCTTAAGATTTCAGGCCTGGCCTGAATTCAACAGAATTGGACAATTATCATCATATAATTAACCCACCCTTTGTGGAAGGTTATGGAGAAATTGGTTGGGCTTTAGCCGTAGAAGACATGAATTAAGTGAACCTTGGTAATACGGGTTCAGATCTGGGCATGGGAAAGAAACTCAATTGTTTGGTGTCATGGATGATCTATGAAATACTTGGATGGAGGTTGTATGAGTGTCATCATGCTCCAAGTTCTTTCAGAAGCTTTCGTTATTGTTGACCACAGTATCCTTCTGGGCCAGTTGCAAAAGTTGGGAGTTGAAGGTATGTTATAATGGTTGCTATCTGAGTAGGTTGGACCAGAGAACATGAGGGGAAGGGAGGAAGAGATCAGGCTGCAAACCACTTTGTTATGGTGTGTGTCAAGGTTCAACCCTTTTTTTCAACATCTATATGAAACCGCTGGAAAAGATCATCTGTTTATGTAGGGTGATGTGTGTTCAATATGTAGATGGTACATATCTCTATCCTGGGACTATTGGGAGATGTAGTGAAAATCACAACCTGGTGTCTGGAGTCTGAATAAGGGAAAACAGGTTCAGGCACAACCCAAAAAAGGTAGAGTGGTTGTTAATGCAGAGGACAATTGATTTCAGCAGTGCACCATCTATGGTTCTTGATGGGGTTGTACTCCTAGGAAAACGCAGACTTGCATCTGGAGGTCCTCTTGGACTCATACGTCCTGGAGAGCTTTTGTAGAGTTTCAGCTGGTGTACCAACTGTACCCTTGCTTGAAACACAATGCACTGAAGATTGTTGCTCATACCTTTGTTCTCTCTCAATGAGCTTACTATAATGCACTCCATAGGGGGCTGTCCTGGAAGATTAATCAAAAACTTTAAAGATTCAGAACGGAGTGGCATGCATGCTCAGTGGTCACTGGGACTGCCATGGAGCTGCGCAGTTACAAATAGGTTTCTAAGTGCAGTTCAAAGTGCTGGCCACTACCTATGAAGCCCTGTATGACGTGGATATATTAGGAACACCTTCCCCCAATAGTTTCTGCCCATCATGAAGTGCCCTGATGACATTGTCCTCTGTAGCAATGTCTCTCTTCTAGAATGGCTTGTCCATGGAACATAAATGTCTTCCTCCTTATGACCTCCTGGAAGCAGAAGGAAACAAGTGTCAGATTTTGATGCTATCTCAAAATAAATGAATTTCCAAACTGCCGATCTTTAAGGAAATTTTCTCTTTATTCAAGCACAGCAATCTGATCCTGACTCTTTCGCAGTCAGTACTGACCTTTGCCCTCCAATCCCTCCCTTTCCAATCCCCAATTCTCTGCTTCTCATTGGCTATCTTCCAAGTCACTTTCCTGATTCCTTCTTCGTCAGATCACAGGAATGTATCCCCCCTCCCCATCTCTGAGGAGACAGAATCTTCAAAGGGATTTAGCAGGCAAAAGTTCAGGCTTCTCCTCCCTTTTCTATGTCAGTGCTGGGACGCTGACAACAAGGTTCTTCCAGAGGGAATTTGGAGATTGATGTACTCGAGGACACCATTTTCCATAATTCCATGATCACATCCTTTTCCTTCCGATTAATTAGTATTCTGATTTTGTATTCCATTTTTACTAGGTAAGTTCTGTAAACTGCCTACCGCCTGGTTAGTTTCAGGTGGTGGGCAGATTTAATGAAACAAAATGCTTCATTCAAGATCCATTGCCGACTCTTCATTCTACAGTGGATTGCAAATATCATCATTTTAAAGGAATTGGATCTTATTGTGAAACTTATTTACCTCTGCAGCAGTTTCATATTCTTTTGCTGATGATGTAACCTGACAATATTTCTTTCTCCTTTTTTTTTTTTTTTTTAAAAAAAGCATTTTCATTTCTTAAGTCAGATGTTTAAAATCGTTTTTGGAATGACTTCAACAGATTTACTCTAATGTGATCTGTTTCTTACCTTCCTCTGTTTCTAGACAAGAAGGGTCTCTTCCACTCCAGCTGAAGGCAGCAGAAGAGCAATTCCTTACAGTACTTAGAAATGTTCCTGTTCTTGGCCAATGCAGTGATGAAACAGCAGGAGGAAAATCCAGACCTCTCAAATTAATGGGTTTCTCCCTCCCTGCCCTGATGTATTTAATTAACTGAAAAGCCAGCGGGTGATTGTTGTCCCCTTCTTAATAGGCTATGACAAATTCCCCCTTTCTTCTTTGAACTCTATTAGTGCTTGCTGGCTAAATACAGTATATTCCTTAGGTGAAGGAACAACATCGGGGAGGCGGGGAAGACCCTCCAGCATATACTTTCCCCTAGTGGGAAAAATGCCATCTATGGATTTTTTACTCTTTTAGGAGAAGAATGACCAGCAGCTGGATAGAAGCCATGAGCTGCTTATTTGCAGGCCACTCACCATCTCGGTTGCAACTGGGCAGCAAACTAGGGAGCATCTGTGGAGTAGCCTTTTGCTAATTTTTTTTTTTATAAATGTTAATCCAATTCAGATTGCTAAAGTAGAATTCAAACATTAACATAATCTGTTAAATATTTCTCATCCGTGGCATTCAAAAATGCTGAAAAGGGTAACTTGCATGCTAATATTATCTGCTCCTACTGGCTGCATCTCTCAGAGTCATCGCCAAGAAAAATGGTCTGTTGCCCCAAGAAAAGTAGCTCACCTCTAGTCTAGGGCATGTTTATGTAGGGTTACCATATCTGATTGAAGTCATAGACAATCAATGGATGTATCAAACAGACACAAGGCCCTCCAGTTCCTTCCTGTCATCTAATGGTGGTCCAGATTTTTAGAGCCAGGTTTTGCAGCTCTATTTATTTATTTATTAAATTTATATCCCGCCCTTCTCCCCAAAGGGACTCAGGGTGGTGAACAGCCGAGAATTAAAATAACATACAATATAAAAGTTAAGATAATTAAAAATAAATTAAATTAAACGGCCTCCCAATTTAAAACCCCTAGCTATACAATTAAAAAAAAACTAACCCGTAAAATCTATTCAGGCCAGGCCGGCTTGCTGAAATAAGAACGTCTTCAGGGCCTTACGGAAAGTGCGGAGATCCGGAATCAGCTGTATTCCGGGAGGTAGCTTGTTCCAGAGGGCGGGTGCTCCCACAGAGAAGGCTCTCCCCCTGGGGGCCGCCAGCCAACATTGCTTGACCAACTCTGTCATTCTTCACTAGCATTTTACCTCCAGAGACATTGGGGGTCAATTCTCATGATTGCCCCCAATTTGTATGGAGTCATGCTGCTGTTGTGGCCTGCCAGCGGCCTGCGCGGATCGTGGCTGATCCCAACGAAGAGGAGGCTGGTGTGGTGTCGCACCAGCAGCCTGCGCAGCCAGCGCTCACGTCGGACAGCGAGGAGGCTGAAGAGGATGTGGTGCCAGAGGCAGAGACTCAGCCAGGTCCTTCAGAACCTCCAGAGGCTCCTTCAAGTGGAGAGAGCGAAGTGGAGGAGCCTCTCCTCAATGCTCGAGCATGCAGGGCTGGCAAAAGGCAGGAGTGGCTACTCAGGAGGAGGAGGTCTCCTTGAGAGTAAGGCTTGAGGATACTTGGCCACTCCCTTAGCCTATTTAAGTCACACGTTAGTAAGTTTCTTGCTAGAAACAACTCGTATTTATTATCAGAGTATTTTGGTTTATCATATCTTGTTTTCTGGGCTGGTTGCCAACCTTTGCCGGTCTTGTTTATTCTTGCTACTTAATAAATTTGATAAGGACCGTTGGTGTGTGTCAATATCCTCGGAAATCCGGAGCTAGGGCAGAACAGCTGCTTGAGAAGGATTGGTTTTGTAATGCAGCATACCTGAAGAGCACCAGAACAGAGAGGGTTGAACAAGCAAAAGTTTATGGTTTGTAAGAATTCATAGATTAGTTTCTATGCTGGATTTCCTATTCCAGAATTACAAGTATTTCATTTCCTT